CGAGGAGAGTGTCGAGGACAGGGGCGAGGACAGTGTCGGGGAGAGTGTTGAAGACAGGGACGAGGAGAGTGTCGAGGACAGAGTCGGGGGCAGGGGCGAGGACAGGGGCGAGGACAGGGGCGAGGACAGGGTCGAGGACAGGGGCGAGCACAAGGGCGAGGACAGTGTCGAGGACAAGGGCGAGGACAGTGTCGAGGACAAGGGCGAGGACAGGGGCGAGGATATGGCGTTATTTTTGTGCCTCTATTCTGAGCACACGTAAAAAAAATTGTACAAATGTTGCATTTTAAGTAGAAAATTAAAATTTGAGTTTAATTTGAGCGAACCAAACTCATTACAGTGTTTGCTGCTATCCGTATACACACACAATAACAGCCCCGCTCACCCAGTTGTTGGTATTTGCTCTTGCATTATTATTAGTAGTGCTGTCAGCGTTAATCTCATTAAAATGGCGTTAACGCCATAACTGCATTAACGCAGCAAATCTCTTTTAGCGCAGATTCCCCGTGCGAGGGGCTGCACGCGTCTACAGGTTAGCACGGTTAACTCATTAGCACCGTGCAGCCCCACACACACGTTAATGCGATTATGGCGCTGACAGCACTAATTATTACCGCTCCACTGGGTTTAGCTGCCATCACACCTGTGATGTGTTGGTTATCCATACAACATTCAGAGCTTTGGCTGGACACGCCCACGGCAGGCGGTGCCCATGATCATGAATATGTTTAGAAGCTGCTATGAGTGCGGTTTGCGTTTATCAACTTTCCAGTTTTGGAAGTTTTTCTTTAATTCAATGAGAGAAAAATCCCCTGTCAGCATTCCTGCTTCCTGCCCCCATCGTGCTGTTTTTATTTTGAAAAGCTCCTGACTTCCTTGTCCTTCCTCAGGATGAGCAGATCACTCTGGATAAGCCGTCCGGGGTCGGAGGCGTTCTGAGGGAGCCGGCGTCCCTCGCTCACTCCGCCTACTCATTGGCCGCCTCAGCCTTCTCCTCCCAGGAGTCCCAGCTCTATATCAACGGCGCTGGCCTCAGCTACGGTTACCGTGGATACCCAGGCCTGAGCGCCACCATGCAACACCCTGTTTCCCTGACAACCGGTGCTGCCGCTGCCGCTGCTGCTGTTGCCGGTCAGACCAACGGTAAGTGATGACGCAAGCAGTCCATCTTTTATTTGCAGATTGTTGGGTGTGGTTTCATCATTAAAGGTTCAAAGTTTAAATGTTTGGGTGCTTCCTGTGGATGACATCATTTCTAAGTAATGACATCATAATCTCGACCGTGTTCCTCTGCAGGCCCCACTGACCTCAGCATGAAGTCTCACTCCTCCACCAACGTCAGTAACTCCTCCTCTTCTGTTGCCGCCAACAGCCTCGGTGGGCGGGGCAGTGGTGGCGGAGGAGGGGGCGGGGCGTCGACCCAGCTCAGCCAGCCAGAGATCACGGCCGTGCGTCAGCTGATCGCCGGATACCGAGAGTCAGCCGCCTTCCTGCTGCGCTCAGCAGACGAGCTGGAAAACCTCATCCTGCAGCAGAACTGATCTCACACACTCTCTCACACACACACACACACACACACTACCCCGTCACGTTTCCTGCGCCCTCGCCAGCCTCGTCTGGTTTTGAAACTGTGGCGACCGTTTGGAGGAAAACGGGAACCTGAGGCCGCAGCGAGGGCGAAGAATCCACCGAATCCTGCCTGAGAACAAAAACGCCGCAGGAAGCTCGGCTCCTCTGCGGAGGCGCCTCACAATCACAGAGGAGGAGGAGCAAAGACTCTGGGGAGCTGTGGGAGTTCGGGTCGATCTTCTTCTGGTTATAAAAACGACGTCGCGCTGAGGCGGTCTGTTTTCGGACGCTGTCCGTTTCTTCGTTGGGACGTTTTTGTGATTTTTCCGTTGGACTTTTTTAAAGTGAACAGACTGTTCGTGCTCGCCTGTATATAAGCTCTCTGTGTCCTTCAGCACTTTCTCCTCACCTCTGACCTCACCCCGTCCTTCCCCTTGGCCCCGGGAGCCGCGTGCTCACTTATGCATCCGAGACGCCATTTTGACCGCCAGGAAATACCTCAGATCAGACCTGCCAATCAAACGCTCAGCTCCTGCAGGTGAAGCCGGGTTTCTCCGCCTCCTGATGTCGTCAGCGTTTCTTTCTTTTCTGAGGAGAGTTGTGCACGTGTGCGCAGGTTTACCTCCAGCTTCTACGAAACCTCAGCATCTGTCCCTCCTCCTCCTCCTCTTCTTCTCTCTGTTTGGACCTACTCTCCGGCTCTTCTTCGTGGACCTAAACCTCCTCCTCTTCCTCAGGCTTGAGGATGAGGAGGACTGCTCCGTCTTACTGTGTGTGTCTGTTAAACTCTGAGATGGCCATTACTATTATTGTTGTTATTACTATGATTATAATGATGAACTTTCATGTTGCTGCTGCTATTTTAAAAACCGGACCTTCTGCCATAGACCTGAAACCTCAACACAGCCGGGCGGTAGCTCGCCGCAGTGCCCCGTGAAAACGCGACCAACCGGCTCAGAGAGCGACGGTCCGATCCGGCGCTCCTCTCTGTCCCGCTGGCTGCTTGGTCGGCTGCTTTCTTTGTTTTGCTTCATAGGGCTCGATTCCTGTCGTGTTTTGTGACTTTCTAACTGTGAATCTTCTTCTTTTCGGACCCTCCCCTCAGTTTGGAGGGCACGGGGAGGGCTGTACAAACTTCTAGTCCCGTGTAGATTAATACTATCTGTTTGTTTACTAGTGGGTAACTTGTGATTAGTCTGAGAGGAAAGTGAGGCAGCAGATAAGTGGAGCGGGAGCTCCTCCCTCAGGTTCTCAGCCATGTTGGAATCACACCTGATGTTCTGGTCCCTGCTTACGCTCTGCTGCTTGAAGAGTTTGACCTTTGTGGAAATAGGATTTGCTTTCAAGTTAGATGAAAATCTGACCTCATTGTTGTACCTGTCTGTAAATTTCAGCTGCACCTTCCAACCCTGGAGCTCTAGAAGCTGCAGTTCCTCTGATGTCCTCTGGAGGCTCCAGTGGTGGGTCGGCCTCATAGACTCCCATGTTAAAACTTTAGAGCAGAAGTTAACATGCTTATGGCTCAGCAGTAGCTTCTGGACCATATAGGATACAAGACAGTAGCCCTAAGCTAGCTTAGCTTTAAACACTAGAAGCTGGGGGAAGTGGCTAGCTTACTCATTAGCATGTTATGCCCTGTAAAAAGAAGCCATACTAAAAAAAGAGAGAAAGCATAACATGTTAGCTGGTGCTCTGTACAGGAATAATCTGACCTTTAAACAGAGCCAGGCTAGCTGTTTACCCCTGCCTGCAGTCTTTGAGCTAAGCTAAGCTAGCTGTCAGAACATCAAACGTCCCATCAGGATCTCTGCAAGGAAGCAAGTTATTTCCCCAAAGCCAAACTCTTCCTTTAATTCTCGTTCTCATCACTGCTGAGTACTTTTGTCTTTTGATAGCGTTGTTTAAAGATAATTATTTTTCATTATGTGAAATTTAGCTTCAAAGTGCATTTTGAACCTAAGCTCGTTAGACCCTCGGGCTCGTTAAGGCCTCGGGCTCGTTAAGGCCTCGGGCTCGTTAAGGCCTCAGGCTTGTTGGGGCCTCGGGCTCGTTAAGGCCTCAGGCTCGTTGGGGCCTCGGGCTCATTAAGGCCTCAGGCTCGTTAAGGCCTCAGGCTCGTTAAGGCCTCAGGCTCGTTGGGGCCTCAGGCT